AATGTGGGGCTCAAACCCAGGAACACGTGAGATCATGACTTGAGCTGAAGTTGGATGCTTAGCCGTCTGAGCCACCCAGGTGCTCCAAGAGTCAGGAAAAACGTAAGAACATGTGAAATCTTTTACTGTACTTTAGTCTTACATTTTTCTTGATTTGAAGAAAATATTAGTCACGGGAGATCTAAAGTACTGTAAATGCTGGGTTCTTTTCTCTGGCCCCCTTGCCAGGCATGCTCTGCCTCAAGGCCTGACCTTGCTGTTCCCTTCTTTCTTCTTTTAAGGCTTTGTGGGATGTCTCAGAACCATCGCCACCTGACCTCCCCATCTCCCTTTCCTCTTTAATATTTCCCCTTAGAGCTTGTACCTATCTATAATATGTATTTAACTTAATCATTTTATTTGGGGTGGGTATTCCTTCCATCACTGGATGAGGGGAGGAGTTTTTGTCTTGGTTGTTCATTGATGGATCCCAGAGAGAGCCACATACAGAGAAATCACTCAGCAGACATTTGTTGAATGGGGATGAAAAATACATGGGTGCAGTAGTGCATAGTACCACATTCCAGGGACTATGAGAAGTTGCATCAGTTTTCCCAGTTCCCATGAATTTTGAAAAAAGCTAGGGGCAAGACAGCAGAGTATAATATCCCTAATCTCTCAAACTTCATTATTTAAAAACCGCAAGAAGATTTTACTAGGTGGAAGATGGAAACTCCAGTACAGCTTCCAAGCAAACTGTTTTTTATGGAGATAGAGACTTTTCAGTTATGGAAATATAAAGACCTCTTGAACTAGAGATGTGGGAGTTTACATTACTTTGGGAAGCAGGTGTGGAAGGGCACAATGGTCTGGGGTCTTGGGCAGACTTGTCACTGTATCTGCTTGGAGGAGAAAGAGGCAGAAGTCTTTTTGTGAAAGACAAAATAAACCATTAAAAACAAATCAAACCTTGCGCGTGGCCCATTTTATCCTCTAGAACAGGGTCTATATTTTATAGTTACCCCAGTTGTTTGCTATAGTTTGAATGAAGAGGAAACCCAGTCAGTGAGAAAAGACATTTCAGCCACCCTGCTTACATGGCCAGGTGGCTGGGGGTTGAAGATGCACCACTGGCAAAGTTAAAGATTGAGCTCTGACTGGTTCAGGAATATCACTCACCCTCTGTAACTACAACTCCCAGCATCAAGGCAAGGGAAGGTAGATGTACTGAGCTCCAGCTAAGAAAAATTGCTAGGTTGAAAAAGAATTGCCTCTAATTTACTTGGAAATCCTACCTGAAGAGATCGATAAACATGAATTATCTTATGTTATAGGCCATTATCATTTCATGTCCAAACCTTAAGCACCAGGAAAATCCTGTTGGAGGACTAAAAAATACTTTAAAAATAATGTGTCCATCTATTTTAATATACTGTTCAATGATCATCCTAAGAGGTTAACAAGAAAAAAATCCAGCATGACTATAAAAAGACATTACTGTATTTGGTAATACAAGCCTATGACATTCTAGAAAGATGGTACTGTGGAGGAAATAACATCATAGCACCAGAAGAAAAAAAAAGTGTCAGATAAAAAGAGAAAATGGCAGAATTCAAGAATCAAAGTTCCAAAAACAATGGGGCATGTTCAAAACTCCATGCCCTGTGAACAAGTAAGCATTACGCCATCAAAGGGGAAAAGAGAGTCAACCTAGAGATGGAACCCATGGTACCGGAAGTAATTACTGATGACTTTACCTGTGCATGTAAATGAGCTAATACTCACTATTCTTGAGAAATAATGAAAGTGAAAACAAGGATTGCAGAAAAGTAGTTAGCTGTAACAATGTTAGACAAGCTCTAAATTAGTTAATACTACAGATGAACTAAACATACTTCTGGAGGCTGTGAAGAGCAGTAATCAAACAACTAAGAAAAGTGATCCAGACAGAGCAGTGTGTCCCATCACGGATAATACGTTTAATTACAAGAGCATGGGAGAATATGACAGGCCTAGAAAATAGTGTAGGAAAATTTAGTCTACAAATATTATAGGTAGCCAACGAAATTTAAAAATTCTATCAGGTAGGAAGTCTCATTTGAGGAAAAATTGAAATTTTTCTTGAACTGGGAGGAGGCCTGGAGTACATGAAAATATCACCAAAGACAATGATGATGTATTTGGATATATTACTGAAATAGAGTAAAATAAATATTAAAAGAAGACTAATAAGAGCTTAAGATGTGGTTCATATAACTGATACAGGATTTTACTCAAAAAAATTTTTTGTCATTTTTGTATGTGAGATTATGAATATTCAGAATCCATGTGAGAAATTGTCAAGAGGAGAAAGAGATTTTAGAATCTTAATTTCCCAAAGAGTAATGGTATGCTCCCTTTCTGTGTGTGGGAAGACACAGAAACCCAGAGTGGAAGGAGAGGAAAAATTTAGGGCAGAAGATTTTTCAAAATATTCCTGGTGTGCAGGGAGAGAGCATTTTAAAGGAAATGGGTGGTGTTTGTGCATGGTGTGAGCCAGAAAAAAAAAAAAAGAAAAGAAAGAAAAAAAGAAAAAGAATATCTGGTTTTCTGGTTTTCAGTCAAGAATAAAACAGGCATTAAAAGTACACCCTTTGAGGGTTGTAGCCGCAGGTCACTTTCTTGCTGTGGCGACCCTGGACAGGTGACTTACTTTATCTCATCTGTAAATTTCATCGTAGCACATAGCAAACATTCCAAAGATGTAAGCCACTGTTTTTATCATGCTGGTCAACATCTCTCCCAGTCTGGGAAGGAATAAATAATCATAATAGTGACTGGCGGTTGAGTGTGTGCAAAGTGCTAGGCTGTGCTGCCACACAGTATGTGAGATATGATCTTGTATTTGTAAAATTACATATATTCTGGATGTGGAGAAAAGGAAGCCGATTGTTAGCTATTAATATGCAAGTTAACACATAATGTATAAATTGGCAAAATAAATTGAAGTTCATTGTTTCAAAAGCTCATATAGATAGATAGATAGATATAGATATAGATATACGTAAACCAATGATATTCAGAAAATACAGTAACATGAAAGTGCAGTTTAGAGGCACCTGGGCAGCTCAGTCGGTTAAGCATCCAACTTTGGCTCAGGTCATGATCTCACGGTTTGTGAGTTCGAGCCCTGCATTGGGCTCTGTGCTGACAGCTCAGAGCCTGGAGCCTGCTTCGGATTCTGTGTCTCCCTCTGCCCCTGCCCTGCTCGTGTTCTGTCTCTCTCAAAAATAAAATAAAAACATTAAAAAATAAATAAAATAAAATAAGAAAGTGTAGTTTAATTACATATAGGTTTTTAGTTCATATGTGTGTATATGTATTCATATGTGTGTCTGTATGTACATATATAGAGAGAAAAAGATGTTTTCTGAGTAGAAAAATAAGTAAGCAACAAGCTTTTGACCATCTTTTTGGTCCTACTCTTTTAATATTTATTTTTCCTTGTCACTTTCCTGTTTCATTCTTTATGTATGAAGTATAATCCTGAAAGTGATACTACAGGAAAGGAGGACAAAGCATAGGGATGAAAATATCACAGAGCACTAAAATAACTCCAGGACTATTTGGGTTGTGGCTACTCTGGCTGGACGTCAGAACATGTTTCCCTGAGGCAAGTGTCCCTGAAATGCTCCAGGAAGAATTCTGAAGATGCCTTAAAATCATGCCCTTGATATTTACCCTAATGATGAGTTTGATCTTTTCTAAGGCTTGTGAAGGGATTTAATAGGAGGTAGCAGATGTAGAAACCTTTTGATGATAAAGGAATATTCCAAATTTTAGTGTTAGTGAATTCCAAATGGTGACTAATCTAGAGAGTGAGGGATTGAAATGAAAAATTGAATCTAATAGTTTTATATGTTATAATAAAAGTTCATAGAATGGTGCCTGCGTGGCTCAGTCGGTTAAGGGTCCCACTCTTGGTTGCAGCTCAGGTCATGATCTGACAGTTCATGGGTTCGAGTCCCACATCAGGCTCCATGCTGATGGTGTGGAGCCTGCCTGGGATTCTCTCTCTCTCCCTGTCTCTCTCTGACCCTCCCCTTCTCTCTTTCTGTCTGTCTCAAAAATAAATAAACTTAGGGGCGCCTGGGTGGCTCGGTCGGTTAAGCGTCTGACTTCGGCTCAGGTCATGATCTCGCGGTCCGTGAGTTCAAGCCCTGCATCAGGCTCTGTGCTGACTGCTCAGAGCCTGGAGCCTGTTTCAGATTCTGTGTCTCCCTCTCTCTCTGCCCCTCCCCTGTTCATGCTCTGTCTCTCTCTGTCTCAAAAATAAATAAACGTTAAAAAAAATTTATAAAAAATAAATAAATAAACTTAAAAAAATTGTTAGTGTAGTTCATAGAGAGAACCTACTAAATGGAAGAGATAAGAACCATTCTGAGGAATTCCTACTCACTGCTCTGTGTTTTCTCAAAGTTTGCAGATTTGAGTTCATCTAAGACTATGTGAATTTAATTATTGCACAATGTCTCCCATAGTTTTAGAGTTCGTCTGACAAAATTAACTACTTGCTTTGACTAACACGTCATTGCAAAAAATATTTATCATTCTTTGTGAATTTGCTTCTGTGTCAGTTATATGGGATACAGCAAAAAGTCCCATTTGTAAAACATAAAGAAAAATAATAGGTCATAGGACCATAGGAAAAATAGAAAATATGATAATGATGACTTTGTGTTATTAAAAAACATGAGTGCCCAGAATTTCTTTTTTTTAATTTTTATTTTTTAATGTTTATTTATTTTTGAGAGAGAGAGACAGAGTGTGAGTGGGGGAGGGGCAGAGAGAGAGAGAAGACACAGGATCTGAAGAGGCTTCAGGCTCTGAGCTGTCAGCACAGAGCCTGACACGGGGCTCGAACTCACAAGCCGTGAGATCATGACCTGAGCTGAAGTCGGACGCTTAACCGGCTGAGCCACCCAGGTGCCCCTAGAGTGCGCAGAATTTCTAAGCAAACCAAGGATCCATAATGATCCTGAAAATGTACCTGCTGTACTTTAATACAACTTTGGTTCTGTTTTGTTTCTTTCCTTGAACTTGAAGATGCTCCTAGGAAGCAGAGATACTTATGGAATGAAAATAAGGACAAATAAGACTTTCTCTAAATATCCTGGGATGAAGGACACTGAAGGGAAATTGTAAGTTACCAAGACACTACAAAGTATGACTATCCTGCTGAAGAAAAGACTTATACTTACAGATTGTATTTTTGAATTTGAAAGAGCTAACCAAACCTTAGTGAAAATAGAGGCATATTGGTCCAGGGAGATTTAGAAAGGAAGTCTTGAGTCATAAAAGACAGAGGAGATTCATAAAGAAAGACATGTAGTAACAAGTAATAAGATGAAATTTGTCTACATTGTCAACACATATGCTCAGTAGTCACTTGGGAATTTTATGGAATATGCAAATTATACTGGAATCTGAAAGCTAGATGAGTTAAAATAGGAATAATTTATAAGACAATAAGGCAAATGTGACCTGTTGTACCCTATGAGGAAGAGTAGAGCTGTAAGTCTTTGTTTCTGAGCCAGAAATAGCTTCAAATTTATCTGTAGAGCTTGCATTGGTAACATTTTGGGCAGAATATAGACTGATGTTGTTCTCACAGAACAGGGAGTTTGTGCTGGAATCCAAAGGAAAGGCCTCAGCTTTTTGCCATTAGCTGAACTGCCTGATTCTGGCCTTTGTGAATTTTAGTTTTAAACCTGTAGAATGAGGGAGTAGGGCTAGATGATTTGTAAGGTTCTTCTTGGGTGTGATTCTATGCGTCTGACACAAACATGCTGGACTTTGTTCATGAAACCACCAAAAAGACCTTCAAAGAAAAGTCCCGTTGTGTTGCCTCCTGGAGTCTATAACTGTTCAAGAAGATTCTTTTTTAAAATCAAGTTCTAGGGTTGATATTATAATCACAGAGATAAATTATGGGTACTCTGCATGGCACAGTACTTGACATAACTGCCTAGATTGTTCAGTTGCAAACTTTTTCACCCCCAGCTGGTTAAACCTCTCTAAATCCTTAAGCACACTTAGTCTTTTCCAGGGGGACTCCAAGGTTCAATCCACTGGTATTTAAAAATCAAAACTGTGCACTTTGCAGCCACCTGATTATGAACTGAATTCTTTGCATAGATCCTAAAACCATAACACTGTGCTTGTTTTTATTGCTCGGATCTTTTAAGCTGGGTCAAGTTTCATAAGAAGCTTCTTTCATTTAGCTTGACTCTTAAAGCTCCATCAAACTCCCCTATTCTTGTTGGCTTATTGGAGCTGCTAAATGCATGTTGATTTACTTTTGCCTGTCTTAAGGCTATTTCCACTGATGTCCTCTCCCACACACACACATAAAGGAAGTCTGTTAACTTCCATGTCTTCTCCTAACAACCTCAAACTCTTCCTGTTCTGGTGGTATTATCCTTCTCTGTTCCCAACAACATGATTTGGTCATCATGCAAGGATGATGAAAGCAGTTCAAATGCAAATAAATATTAAGGGTTAGGACATTGTAAAAATTGGACTAGAAATTTGACTCTGATCGTAAGGATAGCCATAATGATGTGCTTATCAGTGTCAGAAGGGAGAAACAGATTAGATCTTTAGAGAAACTAATCTTTCTGGTACTAGGTTCTGAGGGAAGTTTCTGGAGTATGACATCACGTTTGAAAAATGTCCCCAGGTACAATACAGTTTTGAGTCTATTATCCCCATGATATGAGTTAAGGACATACAGCTCAAGTGGAACTCAGTGAAAGAATTTCTGAGGAATGAGACAAGTACCAGATTATGAAGTTTTATATGTTCTGACAGAAAGGTTGGACATCTATTCTTCAAGCAGTCTTCTGTATCATTTCTACGGTTTTTATTTAACTTGGGCAGCAAACTGTTTGAGCTTTCTCAGGTTTATACCTGTGATCTGCAAGTATTATGAAGAAGATTCAACACTCCTTTAAAAAAAAAAACCCTCTATTGGGGCGCCTGGTGGCGCAGTCGGTTAAGCGTCCGACTTCAACCAGGTCACGATCTCACGGTCCGTGAGTTCGAGCCCCGCGTCGGGCTCTGGGCTGATGGCTCAGAGCCTGGAGCCTGTTTCCGATTCTGTGTCTCCCTCTCTCTCTGCCCCTCCCCCGTTCATGTTCTGTCTCTCTCTGTCCCAAAAATAAATAAACGTTGAAAAAAAAATTAAAAAAAAAACCAAAAACCCTCTATCACCCATCCACTTTCTTCCCTTCTGCAGCACCTGTCAGACCTATGTTTCCAAAAGTCTTCCTGAAAAACTTACTCCCCAGCCTTAGTCTATGTGCCTCTTCTCTTTCTATCTTTTCCCTCTTTTCTGATTCTGCACATCAAATTCCAAATAATGAACCTGGCAAAGGCAGAATCCTCCTTGGAAGACAAGGAAGGGAAAGAAAATGTGATAGAAAGACAAGACCCTCTTTAGCAAGGTTAGTGGCAAAGAGCCATCCTCTGTTATTTTTATTCAGTCACATGTACCTTATCTTTGTTAAGCTTGACAATAATTCAGTGTGATTATTTACTGTTTTTCTGCTTACAAACAGGAGACTAAGGATCAGAGGTTATGGGATTTTCTTCGAGTCTTATTGCTAGTAAATGCTTCAGCCATCATTCTGGTTTTGCAAGAGCTTGGAGGACAAGTTCTCTGTGTGACTGCTTAAGGACAGATCACACCCTGTAAAGATAGGATGAGCCAGTAGTAATGTTGATACCCTTTTATAAGAATGCGGGGCCTGGCCTGAACTCTCACCGGTTTCAATGACCACTTACGTGCAGCTTGGGAACTTTTCACATACATGTTACACACAAACAAATGTAATGTACAGCACAGCACTGTCAAATTATCACACATATATATTCTGCAGAGAAGTTACTAATTACAGCCTTACATTTCCCAATGAGATATATTTGCTTAAAGAGTTATGTCTTCAGGGGTCCCCAAGACCACTCTCATGTTCAATGATTTGTAGAAGGACTCACAAAGCCTGGAAAAGCTGTATACTCATAGTTATGGTTCACTATAGGCAAAGGATACAGATTAAAGTGAACAAAGGCAAACGGTTCAAAGAGTGGAGTCGAGGAGAGTCCTGGAATAAACTTCCAGCTGACCTTTGCCAGGAGAGTCATGTAAATAGCGCTTAATTCTCCTTGTAATCATGTATGGCTGTATACACAGGGTATTGGCAAGCAGGGGACTTCACTAAATCTTCGTGTCCAGGGTTGATCACACAGACATGGAGCCCCCATGTGACTGGCCCTGTTCAGTCTCCAGCCCCTCCAGAGGTCATACTGATTCAACATGGTGCAAAACCCCCACCATAAATCACACCGTTAACATCAATTGTGTAGCAAATGCCAAGGCTGTAGCCATACAGACACTTCTGTCGGACAGGATATTTCAAGGACTTAGACATCATCTCTCAGGAACTGGTCAGGGACCAGTTATTTCTTTGGGAGGTGCGGTGTTTAAATATCCCAAGCCTGCTAGGTTAACTCTTTCTGCACAGTTAAATCAAACAGGTATATGTAGAAACTAGATGAAAAAAAATTAAGATAATGTGGTTTCTGAGAAAAAAATTAATCACTTATAGAGTAACTGTTTTTAGGGGCATGAAATTTGATTTTCTGATAGGAAAAGTTTACTGAACACAATTATTGAGAGAAAATTTACTCTTCTAGAATATTTTATATTTCTGAGAAAACTCATACAAAGCCAGAGTTTACATAGGCCAGTGATTTTACTGGCCTGACTATGATTCAGGCTTTCTGAGGTGCCACTGGAGATGTGAGTTTCGAAAGGGGAACTGGTGGTGAAGGACAGGTTTAGGGGCTGCCTACTGTTTCTTCAACAAGACAGTTCTGTTTTGTTGTTGTTGTTGTTAAATGTTTATTTATTTTTGAGAGAGACAGAGACAGAATGCGAGTGGGTTAGGGGCAGAGAGAGAGGGAGACACAGAATCCAAAGCAGGCTCTGAGCTGTCAGCACAAAGCCTGACGCGGGGCTCGAACTTGAGAGCTGTAAGATCATGACCTGAGCCGAAGTCGGACGCTCAACCGACTGAGCCACCCAGGTGCCCCAGCCATTCTGTTTTAAACTATTTTCTGGTTGATTCTTCTGTATAAAAGGTCAGATGAGGTTCTGCTGCAGTAGTGGACCCTTCATCCTACATGATTGGTGTCCTTCCCAGAAGGGGAGAGAGATCCATGGGAGAAGGCAGCTCCGTGAAGACAGAGGCAGAGATTGAAGCAGCTGCAAGCCAAAAGACCCCAAGAGTGAATCTCTAAGAGTTTCAGAAGGAGCACGGCTCTGCTGACACCTTGATTTTGCACTTCCAAACTTCTGAACTGTGAGACAATCCGTTTGTGTTGTGTTAGGCCACCCAAGTTGTGGTACCATGCTACCCTAGAAAACTAACACACCGATTAGTCTAATTTCATTCTATTCAGCAAAAACTAAGACCAAAAGGGTTAGACAACATTCTGAAGACTGAAAGTACTAGAAAGGTTAAGAATCAACTGTCTATCTGTTCAAAGAATATTTACTAATTCCGTGTGTTTTAAATGGATTGCATTACTCAGTTAACAATAACAAAATACCTCTTTATAGACACATTTCTTAAACAGCCCTTATCAAAATCAGCATGCTGTACCCCTTAACTGTATACAATTTTTATTTTTCAATTATATATCCATAAAGCTGGTGAAAAAAAGAAGAAGAAACAACCTGGTTGATAAAGTGAGATTGGTGAAGAAGTGTAAACTGAAAAGCAAAAAAATTTTAATATATATTTTTTAAGAGAGACAGAGACAGAGCATGAGCACGGGAAGGGCAGAGAGAGAAGGAGACACAGAATCCAAAGCAGGCTCTAGGCTCTAAGCTGTCAGCACAGAGCCCAATGTGGGGCTCAAACTCAAGGACCAAGAGATCATGACCGGAGCCAAAGTCAGATGCTTAATCAACTGAGCCACCCAGGCGCCCCAGGAGGTGTAAACTTTGTAGCTGCCAATATTAAGACTGGGTCTACAGGGCAATTTTGCTCCCTTGAGTTCAAAGAAATCAGGCAAGTAGATTCTTAACCCATTCAAGTGCTCTTTCATTGCTATTTTCCCCGGAGGAGAAAAGGAATGGGTGTGGGGGTGAAGGGGGTGAGCAATGTTTTGAGTTGTTGACTTAAATTTTCCATGGACTCAGCAAAACACAGGTAGGAAAGAAAAGTCATAGTCTTGTATTGGATATTAACAGTCTTATTTGGGAGAATTTATCTAATGTTTAATTTAAACTTTGAATCAATTAACTATGACTCAGTGGCTTAACAAAGATAACTTATCGTTGCCTGTATCTGCAGGTCAGCTGGAGGTTGGGCTTGGCTGGAGTGGCTCTGCTTCAAGTGTCTTTCATGCTCCTTATACCAGCAGGACAGCTTCGGAGCATATTTTTCACATATCATTGGAAGAGCTATGAGAAAGCAAGTGGAAAGGTGTGAAGTTTTTTAAAGTCTAAACTGGGGACTGGCTCACACCTACTTGCAGCCATGCGTCACTGGTCAGAGCAAGTAACGTGGCATATTAGTTTGCTAGGGCTTCTGTAACAAAGTATCAGAGACTAGGCATCTTAAAACAATGGCAATTTATTTTCTCACAGTTCTGGAGGCCAAAAGTGCCAAATCAAGGTGTTGGCTTGGGTTGATTCCTTCTGAAGGCCGTGAGGGAAAAGTTTGTTCCAGGCCTCTGTCCTTGGCTTGCAGAAAACCATCTTTATACTCACAAAGTGTTCTCCTTGTTCACATGTCTGTCTTCAAATTTCCCCTTTTTATAAGGATACTAATCATATTAGATTAGGGCTCACCCAATCATTTTAACTTGATTACCTCTTTAAAGACCCTATCTCCAAATAAAGTCACATTCTAATATATTGGGAGTTAGAACTTCAACACATGAATTTTTTTGTTGGGGCAGGAGAGAGGCCACAGTTTAGCCCACAATATACATTCAAGCTCAAAGTAAAGGGCTTATAAACCCTCCTACAATGAAGACATGACAAGAGTATGAATGTAGGAAGGGGTGAAGAATGGGAGTGAGTCTTAATAGTCTAAACTTCATTTTTTTAAGTTTATTTATTTATTTTGGAGAGAGAGAGAACATAAGCAGGGAAGGGGCAGAGAGAGAGAGAGAGAGAGAGAGAGAGAGAGAGAGAGAGAGAGAGA